ATATATATATATATATATATATATATATATATATATATATAGTGGGAACAAATTTAACATTATGGAAAGTGACCCACACGAATCATGTAGGGTTTGAATTATCTCACCCTTCCCAAAATTAACCCACACCCTTTGTGAAGGATAGAAAAATAGTACATTTCTCCAACAAGTATTTATAGGCCTGTGGCAATTCGTCGAGGCCGGATATATTAAGTTTTACATATTTCTCCCAATGAATATTCCACTAAAAGTAACGCTTTCTTTACTTCTTCTTTTTTCTTTGTTTGTTGTGGACCCCGTTGTTGCCGGAGATGATCATGATCATTACCGGCCGTCTGAAACGAATGCCTCCGGTGATCCATCTCAGGAAGCCATGACCGCCGCTGCCGCCAAAGATCTGGTGACCGGAAAGTTGCCCGGCCAGACTGCGGCGGTTGGCTTCAAACACTATGCTGGGTATGTGACGGTGAATAAGACCAACGGAAGAGCACTCTTTTACTGGTTTTTTGAATCTCTTACTTTGCCTCAAGAAAAGCCTCTACTTCTCTGGCTTAATGGAGGTAACTAATTCATTCATTCATATTTTAAAAATTTTCGGTACTCACAGTTCACCAAAATCTTTTTTTCTTTCATTTTTTTCTCTTTCATTAGAACAATTCCATTTTTTTAATCAAAAAACCAATTTTACTCTTAATTTTTCACATCCTACGTCTTACATCATACTTTTTCATTAATGATCTACTCATCACATCAAGAGCAGGATTGGAAAGTCAACTATAGATATGCACTCATTATTTTTCCCATTAGTCAAAATATGAAGCATTTTGGTAAACGAAGAAAGTAGTATAACTATGGAGTACTCTGTAATAATTACAATATGTATATCCTCGTATATACTGAGTATTTGTCCAGTTCAGAATTTTCACATTTAAAATTATAAACTTTGACATTTAATTATATAAAATTTGTATCAGATGTTGATAAAAGAACAATCTTATTAGATTTATTCAATTTTTGTTTGATTGTGTTTTTCCTTAATTATTTGATAATAAAAAATATTCTTATTATCTTTTGTTTGGTAGAACTTTTGACGATATTTTTCATTAGATAAGTTTTATTTTTTATGTCTATACTAATCTTAAAATAAAATGAATTGAAAAAACTTTAAACTTTAATTTATTTTGCGTAATGTAACCTGTTTGGGATAGAGAGTAAAATATATTGAATATATTAGTTTATTTTATTAATATGTCATGTAATTTTTATTTAATTATATATGAAAGTTTAGATTCACTATAAAATGACAAATAATCGAGGATGAGTATATATACTCCCCTCCGTATTATTATGAGACCAATGACATCTTTCGTACGTTGGTATCCCACATACACCAATCCATCAATGGGAGGCGTTAAATAATAAGCTATCATATCAATAGAAACAATGAAATATACTCCCTCCCTTTCTCTAACTAAAGTCCACTCTAGAAAAAATAAATTAATTTGTATACAGATAATTTTAGAAAAATTTATTAGTGACTTATTTTGATTAGGGGCGGGCGCAGTCCGTGACGATCCGTGATATGACTGGAACCTATCACTGACTACTCTAATTTAAACAATTCGGTATCTGTACGGTATGAACCCTAAAACTATTCAGTACCATTCCGTTTTCAAATGGAACGGTATAATATCATACCCATGCTCAAACCGTGACAAAAAATGAACATGCATCACTCAAAAAATATTAAAATAAAAGCATAATTTTGTATCCAAAAGCACCACTTGTTAAATAAAAATATAGATTTCGAATTTAAAAGAATCATAAACATAAAGAATAAAAGATAATAAGTTCAACTTTTAAAAATAGATTTTTTGAATTCATACAATATCAGACTATTACCCCGTAATAACTCTAAAAAATAATGGTAATAGTAGTAGTAAATATAATATCGATAATATTAATGAAAGAATTTTAAAAATGAATAATACCTTACAAATTAAAGTACTCCGTTCGGTTTCGATTCGTGGTGAAAAAAAATCAATCCTATTTAGAAACATTATAAACGGTCTACCACATACAATTTCATTGACTAATGTAGCAGGGAGAGAAAGAGTATTGATTTTTTTACAGCTAGAAAACTAAAGGAGAATCCAAAAATGGAAAGAAGTGTATATATATTCACATTTGTCAAAACCTTTTATAAGGCTGCCCAAGACCTCCGCGCCAACATCATTACCTTTTGTTTGCCTGCCTTAGTGATTTGTCAACATATATACAAAGACATCATCCTCAAGGCACTATATATATATATATATATATAAAACTTTGTATTATTATTCTTATTATAATTATTATTCCTAGAGAAAGGTTTCCTCCGGACATACGCCGGGCCTTTAGGCCATTGTCATCTCGATCTTTACAGTTTTTTCTTTCCCAGCGACTTAAGACATGCCAATTTTATATATTCACGTTTTTATTTTATAAAAAGTGATTATACATGGAGACACATTGCTACTTCCTCCGTTTCTTCAAATGTTAAATTAAGTAGAAAGTATTTTTTCTTGTTTGGTTAGAGAAAAAAAAAGAAAAGTGGGAGGAAAAAAATGAGAATGCAAAATGTAATAAGTGAAGGAAAAATAAAATTTTTTCCATTTTGGAAAGCAAATTGAGAGATAGTTGTTTTCTTTTCCTTTCCTTCCAAATTCTTTGAACCAAACATAGAGTTAAAGTATTGGTTTTATAAATTTTAAGAAAATTAATGAAAAATGAAACATGTCTGATTAGATTTTTTATAGAATAGAAAAAAATATTGTAAATTATACGGAGTATTTTTTTCAAAATGGAAAATGTAAACTTGTCTACACGAGGGAAGAAACGGAACATTATTAAGGGACGGAGGGAGTATATCATATACTCGTATATGTGTTTGTTAAGCTTCAAAATTTAACAAGGACTTCATCCTAAAAAGATTTTAATGTTTTTGGTGATAATGTTTAATTTAACTTTTTAAAAAATTAGACAAAAACATTCAATTTTTTTTGAAAATATACTACCTCCGTCCCAGAGTATTTGTCCACTTTCATTTTTACACACCATCCAATACACTTCTTTAATCCATTTTATCTTGTAATTTGTATATTAAAAAATTATAGAAATTATATATTAATAATCTACTTCCTCCGTTCTCAAAAACACTTCCTCTTTCATTTCTTCCACTTCCAATAAAACACTCCCTTTTCTATTAAAAAACCACTTTTACCCTTATTTTTTCATACCCTACCTATCACATCATACTTTTTCTCTAATAATCTATCCATCACATCTTACTTTTATCCATCACATCAGGGGCAAAATTTGAAATCAACTACTCCGTATAATTTAACACTTCCTTATTTTTGCCCAAATCCAAATGGGAAGTCTTTTTGCAAACGGAGGGAGTATATGTTAAGACAAATCAAACAAGATCGCACATGACTATATTTAGGCTTACACATTGAGAGAATTTGATGAGTCAAAGTGCTTAGATGAACAGTTCCAAAAGTCAAAACTGGACGAATACTCTGGAGCGGAGGGAGTATAAAACATATAAAGTGAATTTCCCAATGTAGTATCATATGTTTTTATTTCTCGATGTAGTATCATTGTTCAATGTCTATTAGACATTGTTCAAGTAAATGTTCACCGTCACTGAACATTGTTCAAAGTAATTATCCACCGCCACTGGACATTGTTCAAGTACTATTAGAGAATAAAAAATTGTAGGTACTACATTGGAAAAGACATACTTCCTCCGTCCCTGAAATATCTTCCCTTATTGACTTTTTAAAAATTAAAATGATGAATATTTTTGTGTTGACTTTCCAAAAATACTCTTGATGTGATGGGTAAAAGTAAGATGTGATGTGTAGATTATTAGTAAAAAGGTATGATGTGATAAGTAGGTATTGAAAAAGTAGGGTATAATGTCAAAATGAAGCATCTTTTGGGGACAATAAGAAAATAAATGAGGAAGATCTTTTAGGGACAGATGGAGTATGTTTTAGTACTATTTATTGCAAATTTCACATTAATACCCCAAGTAGCTTAAAGAACACCTTGGTAAAAAACACAACTTTCACGAAAGGCTAAATTCCCAAGTAGCTTAATTGATGTAAAATTCACAAAAGGCTAAATTCCAACGTCGTTCTTTCAAATTATTTTATTGTGCACGATTAGTTCTTCAATTTTGAAAAATTCTTGAATAGTCTCTCAAGTCATGTTAACATTGCATGATTGACCCTTCAACTTTGAATGATCCACGAATAGCTAGTTCTTTAAGTCCTTGCTAACTTTACATGGTTGGTTTTCATGTACTTTTTTATTTTCCTTTTTAAATACATGTGAGGAATCCTTTGTTTTTCATATAATTGAAACATATTCAATATAAGTCCATTTATTATTCCAATTTTTATAATTGATGTGAGGAATACATGTTACTCTTACTTTTATTATTCCAATTTTTATAATATAATAAGCTACTTTTCCTTTATTAGTTCAATTTTTTGAAAAATACTCACTCCAGCTAAAAGTATTTATCAAATTTTGACTTTTTACAATCACTAAGATTGAATGTTTTACCAATATTCAATTAAAATAAATCTATAAAAAGTATGACTCAATTATAAGAAAAAGAGAAGGTTCATCACATCTATTTATAGTGAAAAAAGAAAAAAATGCATAGAGTAACGACAATTTAAGAAAAAAGCCAACCATGCAATGCTAACGTGATTTGAAAGACTATTCATAGATTTTTTAAAGTTGAAGAACAAACTGTGCATAACTCAATAATTTGAAAGACCAATAATGAGATTTAGCCTTTGTACGTACTCCCTCCCGTTCACAAATAAACTCTCCGTTGCGCGTTACGATGTTTAACTGAAGTTATTTTCAAATCATTTTATATGAAAAATGGTGTAAAATTTAAAAATAAAAATTACATATTACGGAGTAAGATATTATATCAAAAAATCTACAAAACTAGAGGTGACATGACTATATTATTTTATCAAATGGATGACGAAAAAAGGCCAACAAAGTAAATAAAGTTTAACCATGTGAATAGTGAACGGAAAGTTTATCTGTGGATGGATAGAGTATTGATTATGGGTATCATATTAGGTTAAATGAATGCAATGATGATTGGATGATGATGATTAGGTCCGGGATGCTCGTCGGTAGGGTATGGAGAATCACAAGAGATTGGGCCTTTCCTTATTGGCGGCGGCGATGGACCTCTCTTGACAAGCAATCCATACTCTTGGAATACAGGTTTAATTTGTTTAATTTATTCTTTCCCGTGTGTGTGTGTACATGCATTTGCTTGTATCTATATATTCGTCTAGGTTAACTACTTGAATATATTTACTGCAGAGGCGAACATATTATTTCTGGAATCTCCAATTGGCGTAGGCTTCTCTTATTCAAACACTAGCACTGACTTTGTCAATCTTGGGGATGAATTAGCAGGTATGACGATCTTGAGTATGTGTGTACTTCTTTCGTCTCATAAAACATTTCTAGCTATTTTTGATAAAGATGAGATCTAAAGAATGTATAACTTTGGTGTTACTTTCGAATTTTACCCTACTTTTTATTATCTGGTTGAAAAAACAGTTACACCTTCATTTTTTGGGTATGACACAAAACACTTTCACCCTACCTAAAATATTTAAAATACACCTCATTTTTTCCTTTTTGCAAGTAAAAGTTTTTTTGGAGAATATTTTAGACAATTTAGGTGAATAAAAGTGTTTTTTTAACTCTGATAATAGTAGAGTCGGATAGGATATATGATTGAGAAAGTAATAATGAATAGATTTTTTAATGTGATGCATAGGTAATTAATTAGTAGGGTAAAAGGGATATTTTAATCGAATGTAAAAGTATTTTTTGGGGTGAATGGGAATTGAAAGTGAATTGCTTTTGTGGAACGGAAGAAGTATGCATGTACGTACTCCCGCTAGCTACGTGCATGAATTGCTTTTGCATGCCGTTACAATTAATTAATTGTGTATGGAGTTATTAATTAATCAATTAAGAGTTTAATTTTTTTTGTCTGATTACTGAATTCATGCATATATACATATACTGATATACGTACAGCAAATGACGCATACACTTTCCTGAACAATTGGTTTCTCAAGTTCCCATCTTATAGAAACCGATCTTTTTATATTGCTGGGGAGAGCTACGCAGGTAATTATTATTTAATCCAGAGTATCAATTTCTTTCTCTCTTTTTTTTAATATCAATTATTCAATTTCATATACTCGTGATTTATACACTTTTAGTCATTATCCATTAGTCATTATTCAAGTAAATATTCATCATCACTAGACATTATGGACATTATTAAGTGCTATTTATGGAAGAAAACAATTTAAGTGCTATTTAGGGAAATGACTTAAGTCTCCGTCCGGAAATATTCTTCCCATTTGACTTTTCTTGGTCAAAGTTTTTAAGCTTTGACTATGATATGTGGAAAAAATACATTATATTACGATATAACTTTAATATGAATATATTCATTTTGAAATATACTCCGTAGTTTTCAAATATCAAATTTTTATAAAATATATCTATGTATAAATAAAGATATTAGTGGTCAAAGTGCAATCTTGGAGACCGTAAAAAGTCAAATGGGAAGAACATTTCTGGACGGAGGGAGTACTATTTAGTGCAAATATTTCTTATATTAATACTGACATATATATATTGTTTTGATCGTTGATCTGAAGGGCAATACATACCAGTGTTGGCTGACCTAATTCTTGAGAAAAACAAGAAATCATCTTCTTCGAATCTCTCCACCAACATTAATCTTAAAGGAGTAATGGTACGTACGTACGTACGTTAATAACTAGTCCCTCCGTTCCACAAAACCCTTCCGATTTTGACTTTGGGGAAAAATAAGGAAAGTGTAATTTTGGTTGACTTTCTAATTTTGCTCTTGATGTGATGGGAAAAAGTAAGATGTGATAGTTTGGTTATTAGTGAAAAAGTATGATGTGATAGGTAGGGTATGAAAAAGTAGGGGTAAAAGTGGTTTTTTAACAGAAAGTGGAAGTGTTTTATAGAAAACAAAAAAAACGAAAGAGGAAGAGTTTTGTGGAACAGAGGGAGTATTATTGTTTAATAATGAACATAACACATGTAGTAATGCATGCATGGATGGATATGATATGAAATGCATGCAGATAGGGAACCCGGAAACGTCAGATGCGGAAGACTGGAGGGGGATGGTTGATTATGCATGGAGCCATGCAATAATCTCAGACGAAACCCACAAAATAATCACAGACAACTGCAACAATTTTATTACTAGCGATGTGTGGAACAACAAAAACTGTAACGACGGTGTAGAAGAAATGTTGAAACAGTACGATGAGATTGACATATATAGCCTTTACACCCCCAAATGCCTAAACAACCTCACATCATCATCATTATCGCCATCATTATCATCATCACCATCATCATCTTCCCATAAGATGAGAAGAAGAAGAAGAGGACAAGGACTACTAGGTTTGGTTGGGACCGGGTATGACCCGTGTTTGGATGATTACACTGTTTCTTACTTCAAAAGAGGAGACGTGCAAAAGGTTCTCCACGCCAGTGATGGTCTCCACGTCAAGGACTGGAATATCTGCAAGTAATATTATTATTATTACTATTATTATTATTATTATCATTATATCTATTATTATTGTTATTATTATCATCATCATTATTGTTATTGTTTTATTATTATTGTTGTTGTTATGGATGTTGGATGCATATATGTATGCAGTGACTCAATTTTCAATGCGTGGGCATACTCAAACGAATCAGTTCTCCCAATATATCGGAAACTCATTGCTGCAGGACAGAAAATATTGCTCTACAGGTAATTTTTAGAATTTCTTACATACTCCTTTTATTTTGAGTACGTGATCATTAAATTGAGTAAAAAATTTTTTACATTTTATTAATGTTTTCTAACATTGTCCCGCTCTTAAATATAGTGTTTGATAACTTTCTAAATTAATAACAGGACAAAGTTTATTCTAAAACCAATAAATAAACAGGAAAACTGAATATTTTTATTCTACTGGTAGAAAAAGATCGAAGTTCTTTTTTGGGAAAGTAGTACTCCACCATACAACCACCGCAAAATGGAAAAGTCAAAAAGGTTATTCGTCCGGAGCCATTGGCACCCGACCACTTGTAACCTATGCATATCTTTCGGATGTAGTAAACGAACACTTTCTGCTAAAAGTGAATTATATATTGTTCAATTCTCTAAAATTATACTGTCCATGTAGGTATTATATTAATGTTTCCTTAATTTTGATTTATTGGCTAATTAATTAATTAATTAAATGGATGGTCAGTGGGGACACCGATGGAAGAGTGCCAGTTTTATCAACGAGATATAGCATTGCTGCTATGGGTCTTCCCATTACCAAACCATGGGCACCCTGGTTCTACCAAAAACAGGTTATTAATTAACTTACTATTAATTAATCTATTCATTTCTCTTTTTTATCTGTTCCAATTTAACTTGCAAATATTCTGCCCAGTTCACTTGACCCACCGAATTTCGAATCACCAAAATTCTACTCCCTCCGTTCTCAAAAACACTTCCTTTCTCATTTTTTTCACTTCCAACAAAACACTTCCCCTTTCTATTAAAAAACCACTTTTACCCTTACTTTTTCATACCCTATCTATCACATCATATTTTTTCTCTAATAATCTATCCATCACATATTATTTTTACCCATCACATCAGGGGCAAAATTGGAAATCAACTATAATTTAACACTTCCTTATTTTTGCCCCCAAATCAAATGGGAAGGGTAGTTTTTCCAAACGGAGAGAGTAACAATTTTGGACTAATCCATCTCATACTCATCAACCTCCTTTATTCTCTTGAAGTAGAGAATTTGTTTGATGGGAAATATGCATGCAGGTGGGTGGATGGGTGCAAGAGTATGAAGGGCTAACATTTGCGACGGTGAGAGGAGCAGGGCATGACGTCCCCACTTTCAAACCCGCCGAGTCTTTAGCCTTATTCTCTTCTTTCATCTCCGGTCTCCCTCTCCCTTCCCGCCGTGGCCCCTAATTACATTATTAATTACTCACTCTTTAATATATATAATTAACCCTATATACCTCACTACCTTTTCTAGTGCATGCTCTCTCTCTACTTATACCTATAATAATAATTGTATCAATTGTATACATACATACATACACTCCTATAGTACGTACTTACGTTCATAATGCCATTGTTTTTGTGTAACTCCGTACGTACTAATCAAATAATTGTATGTTGTAAAGCCAATAAAGGTTTTAGAGAGGGATCATATCAGAGAAATAAATAATACTCCGTACTTTGTAAGAGCTTTGAGCAAAACTTTGTCTTGTTCTTTTTTCTTGAGGATATATATTGATGGGTCGCGGATCTTTTCCCCTCGGGCTATTGGGCAGTCCAAGCTAGATCTAAATGTATAAAAGTAATTTTATTAGATTTATATTATTGAGAACGTAACTTTTAAAATTTTATTTCATTATACTAATATATGCAATATAATTGAGTGTAATCGAAGCTAAAAATCTATCCATTTTAATTAACTCGAAAAAGTGTAACTCAACAAGTACACAATATAGAGGTATATGTCTTTAATTAAATCCATTTAATTTGTAAATTTCATGCATGGGTTGAAGATATTTATATCAGAATGGCCGGCAAGAACATATTGAATTTGGACTAAATTATTAATCTATTGGAAATATGCTTGCATATAACGACTATGTACTTATTAATTTAATATAATTATAAATAATAATAATAATTACGGCAAGGGTCTTTTGACCCGTAAACTCAAGGTCATATTACCATACCTATCACATCACACTTTTTCTCTCCAATAATCTATTCATCACATCAAAGACAAAATTAGAAGTCAACTATAATTTTAGCACTTTCTTATTTTGATACTTGGTTAAAATGGAAAGTGTTTAAAAAAAAGGAGGGAGTATTGAGTACGGAGCACTAATTTTCAATCTATTTCTTCTACGCCAAACTAGCATTACTCCCGTGCATTGCACGGGTCATACTTATATTACTAAATTAAGATCATTTTTGAAGGATACAATTTTTTATCTAATACTCCTTTCGTCCCTGAAACATCTTCTTCTTTCATTTTTTCTTTGTCCCTCAAACTCTTTCCTTTTTCTCTTAAAAAACGACTTTTACCCCTTACTTTTTCATACCCTACCTATCACATCAAACGTTTTTGCTAATAATCTATCTATCACATCTTACTTTTATCAATTACATCAAGGATATTTTTGGAAAGTTAACACAAAAATATTCCTCCCTTAGTTTTCCAAAAAGTCAATAAGGGAACTTATTTCGGGACGGAGGGAGTAGAATATAAAGATTTAATTATTTTAAGGTACAAAAGTTAATTGTTTTACAAATAACGAAAGACTTCTTAATAAACTACATTACTCGTATATTTATATATCCAACTTTTAAAACATTTATTTATTTAAAGACTTCTTCATGATTTTCTACTCTGAAAGCATGAATCTTATTTAAGAACTCAAGACAGTGTAAGCCATTCAAAAAATTTGAAAGAGGCTAATTACGAAAAGTGATTGAGAATGATTGTATTTAAAGTATAAAAAAATTAAAGTATTTATCTATTTCCATGCATCTAATTTTTTTCGAGTAAGTTATTAATTAGTGGTTGATTGTTGAACATATAAAAGGTATATATTATTCAATACGTTTCCATGTATTAAAGGCACACCTCTTAAAACGATGTCTTTCCTAAAACATTTGGGTTTGGATCTCTAAATGGAAACATTATTAAATTGAAAGCTTATTTGGTTAGAATTATTACACGATAATAATAACTAAGTACGATAATATTATTACACGCTATATTATTATTATTATTATTATTATTATTATTATTATTATTATTATTATTATTATTATTATTATTATTATTCTTTCACAATAATAAATCAATAATGATTAAATACATTAATATTATTGCACGGTATATTAGTATTATTATTTTTCTACACGGTAATACATTATTTATTCTTGCTACAAAGTAATTTATGATTTAATTATTATTTCTATATTCAACACTTAACATATGTGCCACCATTTCTATGTATTACTTTGACATTTTTTTATATTTAATTTCTTTGATTATTTTTTATTTTGATTTTTTTAATTGTGCCTTCCTTAAATGCATAAAATTATACTCCCTCCGTTCTCAAAAACACTTCCTCTTTCATTTTTTTCACTTCCAACAAAACACTTCCACTTTCTATTAAAAAACCACTTTTACCCTTACTTTTTCATACCCTACCTATCACATCATACTTTATCTCTAATAATCTATCCATCACATCTTACTTTTACCTATCACATCAAGGGCAAAATTGGAAGTCAACTACAATTTAATACTTCCTTATTTTTACATAAAGTCAAAACAGGAACACTTTTTCCAAACGGAGGGAGTATATTTAAATTTCTTCATAAAATATTTAGCACCAAATCTCTAAATGGAAACATAATTAAATTGAAAATTTATTTTCTTAACATAATCACACCGTAATAAATTAATAATGATTAAATATGGTAATATTAAGTTTGGCCATGTTCTCTGAATGGAAACATTTTTAAATTGAAATCTTCTTAGATTAGAATAATTAGATGATAATAATGACTAAGTACGGTAATTTTATTACACAGTATATTATTATCATTCCTCTTACAATCTTACATGGTAATAAATTAATAATGATTAAATACGGCAATATTATTACACGATATATTCATATTATTCTTGTTACACGATAATACATGATCTATTCTTATTACACGGTGATTTATGATTTAATTATCATTTATTTATTTAACACTTACTATATGTACCACCATTTCTATGTATTACTTTGACATTTCTTTTAAATTCGATTTTTTTCCCCAAAAGGAAACAAATGGTTCATATGATTAAAATGGTTTGTTTCTAAATTGGAAAAGGAAACAAATGGTTTGTATGATTAAAATGTTTTGTTTCTTAATTGGAAATTATATAAATTACGAAACTGTAAATTTAATGCATTGATTAAAAAAATTTACACCTTAACATGATTATTACCTTTTATGGACAAATATTATTTTTGATTGAACGGTAAATAATTTTTTATTATATCAATTCCAATTTTATAAAAAAGTTCGGTATTTGAAAGGAAGTTTATATAAATAATACGGAGTATTTTTTATATTTTGTTTTCTTTTTAGAAATATATTAGGCATGCGAAAATTCCTTTAATTTATTATTCTAAATAAGAATAGAGTAATTAAGTAATTATGCATGCAAAATTATTCTAAAGAGGAAACAACATAGATCTTGTTTGCGAAATTAGACCCTTCTTTTTTTATCAGAATTAAGTAATTATGCATGTTAAATTTTCTTTAATTTATCATTCTATTATTCTTAAAAGTATTTCCTTTTAAGAATAGAGTGATTAATTAAGTAAATAATTACCTATTTAATTAGGCATAAAGAATTACTTTTTGATAAAATAATCAAGCGTAAATTATTCTAAGTAATTATAATAATAATAGTAATAATAATTCGTAAATAATTACCAATGTAAATAGGAAACAAAATATAAAAAATCTCCTACACCGTCCATTCCTTTTTTATCACAATCAAGTAATTAGGCAAAATTGGTTAGAAAACAAATTAATCCCTTCCTTTTTGATCAGAATAGAGTGCTTATGCGTGCAAAATTTCCTTTAATTTATCATTCTAAATAGGTAATATTACACAACCAATCATAGCCGTAGATCTTGTTCGTTCCTTGATATCAACGGTCCAGGAGATGAGTGCATTGGGCGGGAAAATAATTCTCTTGCTTTTAAGAATAGAGTGGTATTACTCTGAGGCTTCTAAGCAAATAAACCTTAGCATTGATTGGATTCAAAATTTCAAATGAAGCACCACATATGAAATTAAAGCACCTTGCGGCAAAACCTACTTATTACGGGACAACAACAAGATTAATGGTAGACACCTTTTTTTTTTATTTGTTTAATTTAAAGTTCCACAATTAAGAATGAAAGCACCAATGATACGAACTTGTGGAGACTTAGAACGATTTCGAGCAAAAGAAAAATTGAGACGAGAAGGGGAAATCGGCGAACCGAGAGAGGAGAAGGAATAAGTGTTTGCAATATTGTTTATTGGTTGATTGTTAACTTCATTGTGTTGGATACATATACAGATTATTTCAAGTCTAAAGAATTTCACACATAAAAAATTAAAAGGTAACAAAATAAATTAAGATATTAATAACCTAATATAATAAGAATACTTTCTAATAGGAGTAATAATTAATTAACCATTAATAACAACATTCTTATTTCTTACCAATAATAATAATAATAACAACAACAACAACAATAAACAATGGATTGAATTTTGCAACGTAATTTCCTTTAATACTCCCTCCACACAAAAACAACGCTATTAAATTAATTATATTTTCTATAAACCTTTTCATCAATCATTTGATAAAATAAAATAACTTTGTTGCTATTTATTTTGTCTTTTATGTAAATTTTTAATATATCCCAGGTTGGCTCTGATACCATGTAGAAATATTATTAGATCTAAACTTGAATTTTTTGATTACACATAGATCTGCTATTTATAATAGCTACGAGACTATAACCTAATTACGAGCCCAACAAGAATGAGCCCGTTAACGACAAACCCTAATACATTCCTTAACAATATTGGAAGAAAGTCGATGAAATTCGAAAAAGAAATATTGGAAGTTAACTTTTTTAACCCAAAATAATACACCATTTTTTTAAACATCCCATTGTGAATGTAACAATTGTTATGTCGTTATGGCCTTGTTTGGGAAGAACGTTTTCAATTAGCGTTAGCGTTTTGGATAAAATATTAACGGTATAGATTAATTCAGAAAACGCTAATGCTAAAGGCCACCGTTGGATAGCCTTTTCAAAACGCCAACACTAATCTCTAACGCTGATGCCAAACGGGATCTATGTCTTCTAACCAGTTCATTGTGCTATGGCGATTGGTAACTTTTTTAGGTCAGAGGTGTATAACTCAGTACTTTTAACATATAAATTAGGAGATGACATGTTTTTTATGTATTCATAAGC